TTTTTTTTTTTTTTTTTTTTGAGTATCTAATTGCAGTCTGTTCTGTATCTGATTCTGATGGATGTAAACCTTTCTTTGGAACAGTTGGTGGAAGCATGCATCAAATCTTGCAAGTTATGAACAGCAGGATGCTCATGAGTTTTTCATTTCCGTGCTTGATGGGATTCATGAAAGGATGCAGAACGATAAAGGAAAGGCGTTGAGTCCAGGTATATTTGTTTGTTGCGTTAGAGTATCTATTAGTTACCCATCTTTTCTCCCCCCATCACCTTGCATAGTTAGTTTCTTGTTCTTTCTTTTTTCCTTTTCTTCCGAATTAGACCAATCATTGAGATTAAATATTTTTTATTGTGCTGTGAAAATTATTGGCAACATTGTTTATGCATATTTTAATAAAGCAACATAAATCTAACATAGTCAAGGGAGGCTAGTGCAGTAAAAACCTCAAATAAGTGGATTACTGAAATTTGTATAGTTACTTGCAAAGGTCAAGTACTTCAGTAGGTGAATTTTTTGAACTTTTTTGTTGGTGGAGAGGGGGTGGAAAAAGTAATTTCTGTAGGAAGTAGAATAGTGTGTTCAAGCATCTTTGTGATGTCAAGTAACGTCTAACTAAAATGCACTCAGGGCCTACTTGATAGGCTTATCTTTGTTGTTCTAGCATCTCATCTCTCATGGCAATCCCAACTTCCGTTGTCACTGAGAAAAGATAGAAATATTTGAATGCAGGTTATGGTTTAGGTCTTTTCTTTGCCATAGGCGATTTACCAGTTGATATTCGCTGTCAGGCTTAGAGATGTTTCTCAAAAGGAAAAAGATTTCCTCCTACTCTTCCCAGTAAGTCTCAGTTTGGTTAGTCTTATTGATTTCAGCATAGGAGTTTTCTTCTGGTACAATAGTTCTCATATTAACTCGCACTTTTACCATGTTTTAGGGTATTACTCTCGAGTGAGCTGATCGCAACCTTCAAGAAAGCTTGAAGTCTTTACTAGGTTGACAACTTTTTGCTTACTTTTTTCTATAAGCCCCTGTGTGTCTTATTATTCTTGTGAGTCTACCTCCTCGGTACCTCAAATTTCTTTAGCAGAGCAATCATTAGTAGGGTAACTCCTTAGCAAACAATTCATTTCTGCCACTGTAAATATGCTGATTTGATTCCCGCTTAAGTCACACGTACTTTAATTGAGAGAGTTAACACCTATTCTTATTCCTCTTAATTAGAGGATTAGTACAGGGCTACCCTGAGTTTGCAAAATTTAGTTAACACCTGGTTGTTGCAGTTAAATAATGAATACAAGGATCTATGATTTTGAATGGTTTTGTGTAAATGGAATAATAGACCTTTTGAGGCAATAAAGTGTCTTGCGGATACTTTTCTTACTGAGGTTTTTTTTACAAAAGTCAATTGTACTCCATTGCTTGTAGCTACTCATTCTGTTGGTTGCCATTCCTCATAGGACCATTGTTGTTTTGTCTTTATGGCATAACTGGACTTTTGCTTTTTATGAAATGTGTTGAGGAGCACTTTAAGCTGTGCATACTATGTTACTGTATGTAACTTATTAGGAGCAGTACACATTGCACTTTGTCATCTGTAATCTAATCTTGACTAATTTTTTTCTTTTGTGCAGGCAGCGGAGACTGTTGCATTGCTCATAGAGTATTTTCTGGGATCTTGCGGTCTGATGTCATGTGTACAGCTTGTGGCTTCACATCTACTACATATGATCCATGTATAGACATCTCCTTGGACTTGGAACTGAGCCAGGGGAGTTCCGCCAAGATGACATCAAAGAAGTCTCATAATACTCACAAAAAGGAGGCAGAATCTGGAAAGTTTAGCCAAAACGGTCGAATTTCTACGTTGATGGGATGCTTAGATCATTTCACAAGACCTGAGAAATTGGGTTCTGATCAGAAGTTCTTCTGCCAACATTGTCAAGTGAGACAGGAATCTCTTAAACAGATGTCCATAAGAAAACTGCCTTTAGTTTCTTGCTTCCATATCAAAAGGTTTGAGCATTCTGTGATTAAGAAAATGTCAAGGAAGGTTGATCACTACCTACAGTTTCCTTTTTCCTTGGACATGTCGCCTTATCTCTCTTCATCTATCTTGAGGAGTCGATTTGGAAATAGAATCTTCTCCTTTGACGGGGACGAGCAAGATGCGTCCTGTGAATCGTCCTCGGAATTTGAGTTGTTTGCTGTCATCACCCATACTGGTAAACTTGATGCTGGTCATTACGTAACATATCTGAGGTTAAGCAATCAATGGTACAAATGTGACGATGCCTGGATAACTCAGGTGAGCGAGAGTATTGTGAGAGCTGCGCAAGGATACATGATGTTTTATGTGCAGAAAATGCTGTATTACAAGGCTAGTGAAAACCAGGTTAGCTAGAAGGAAACAAGCAATAGCTACTTTTTGCGAAGCACTGATGCGGCACTCCAGATTCAAATAACCCATGAGCTCTAGGTACGTAGATATATTTGCGAAAAGAGGGTCATATGTGAAGCCCTTGAATATGTATGAAGCATCTTGTCTTTGTTGGGAGTAGAAGACCAAGCTGATGATGTTTTTGTTCCAGAGTGCTGCTGCTTTGAGTTTTTCAATTCTCAGTTGGAGTGTAATCTTCCTGAATTTTAAAGGCCCACACTCCTGCATTCAGAAAATTTTGGTAACATAATATTTTTCCCTTGCAAAAATAGATAATTAGTGAAACCTTTCTATTTTTTGTGGCTAACCATAGAAAAATAATAATAGAAAAAGATAATTAGTGAAACCTTTCTGCTAACTTTTCATGTCTTTTTCTTGGATTTGCAAGTTTTCAATGTGTTTGGACACAGAACTTCGGGGCAAAGAAACTTGTTAGCTTTTCATGTCTTTTTCTTGAAGTTTCAAATTTTCAGACTTTGTTTGGACACAGTTCTTGTTCTTCTCCAGGCACTTGAGCAACTGAATCTATATGCTAGATTTGGCTGGTGAATGGTGACCTTCATTGAGCTGCTGGTGAGTAGTTTCAAAGAACTTTGTCTTCCATTCAACCAGCAATGGATTACGAATAGATCTGCAATAAAGCAAAATGTGTCGATGACCAGCTTATAAGCACTTTTTTGGCTTATATATACATTTGGTAATCACCAAAAGTGTTTATAAGCACAACACTGCCTTAAAGTTATACGTTTGTCACCCCCAATTTTATGGCTTTTCAGCTTATAAGTATTTTTAATTTGATTAAATTTTTTATTGTCTCATCCTTAATTGTTTCTGGTATTCCCAAAATCAAAAGTTCTAACTCTTTTATTTTCATTATTTGCCCTTTTCAATTAGATTCTTTTAAGTTTATAGGAGTATATTTCTGTTAGATATTTGGTCATTTTAACAAAAAAAATTGCTTATCTGTATTTTCTTTACAAACACATAATATAATAATATATCTTCTTTAAATACTCATTCTGTCTCAAAATAGTTCTTTTTCTTTTTCTAAATTTCCATTACATTGGGGATTAGGGATCATATATAATATAGTTGTATATTCAGATTTTCCTAATTTAGATTTCCCTATTATATTCTCGGAATGAACTAATTCTCTTGCCACCCACCATATTTATACATTGCTTTGAGCCAGAGGTGTATTTAGGATTTAAACTTTATAGGTTCAACCATTAAGGTTCTTAAAATTGAACTCATTATATCCATAAAATTATGGGCTCACATCTACAATTTATTGTGTTTTAGTGAATTTTTCACATAAATTTGTGCTTCGTGTGCACGCTATGTGTTCAATTGAACACGTTGCTATAGGGCTACATCCGCCCCTGCTTTGAGCTAAGCTAAAAAACCTATTTCAGTGATGGCCCTCCATGGATTCACCTATATAAACCACCGCTAAAGTTGTAAAAATAAGAGGGAAGGGAAAGAGAAAGGGAGAAGATGGGCAACAAGAATTGAACTTGTGTGAGAGACTTTCACTAATACAAGTAGGCTCTTCAATTTGGTTATAACTTTCTCTCTTTTTTTCTTTTCTTTTCTTTTCGTTTTTTTTTTTTTTTTTTTTTTTTTTTTTTTTTTTGCGATCCAATATTTTTAGGCTATGACATCAACTATCTAAAAGAAATAGCTTACTCAAGCTATCTGAGATAGCTCTGTAAACTAATAACTTATAATATATGAGACTTTATCCTTATTAACTGAGCTTGCTTTATGGTACATGGGGAGCGGCAAAAATCTAATACTACTAAATCTATCTCAGAAATGAGATTCCTATATTTGGCCACCAAAATACGAACATGGTTATATATTTGACTTTCAATGTGAAAGATTTGTTTAGGAAAGATAAGAGTTTCAATGATGAAGCTATTCTTTTAGTCTTTGATTACTGAAAAATATGTAAGTACCTCAATTCCCAACTCCACATTACTTATTCCGACTAATAAGATTAACCGATAAAGTGTGCTTGATATGACAAACGGCATTTTTATGGAACAATATTATAAACTTTAAGACTCAAAATTTCATCAATCTGAAAGATATTTTTCAATCACCAACCAAATATCAAAAAATATTTTTCTTAAAATATAGTTTTGATTTAAAATGACTTCTATCATACCAAATACGTACTCGAAGTTTCTTTTTTATCTTACAACAATTGGGGTGTTAAAATATATCCAATTGCATTGATAACTACATTTGGTCCATGATTAATGTATTTGGTTCGAACGACATTATAATGGTTTGAATTTTTATCATAAAAAGACACCAAATATGCTTTGATAACTATATATGACATATTTATTGATTTAATGATCCATAAATCATACTATAAATACAGGAAAAAGATGATCCAAATAAAAGAAAGTCTGCAACATACCAAAAGGTTGAGTCAGTGAACAAGATGAAATTAAAAAACGTGAAATAAAAATTGTCAATTGATTCTTGAATATTTCTATTTGTATATATTACCATGGAATCTTCTTTTAACTTTAACACTATTTGAACTTTAAAACACGTATTTCCTTAGGAAATAAGGAGATGCTACTTGTTTTTGCTTTCTTGAAAACAATACCAGACCAAAAAATTACAACAGGCCCAACGACCCAACCAATAAACAAAACCTCATCCTCCACTCCCCTATAACCCTTTTCACGCGGCCCCAACCCAAACATAATGCCAAACGTAAAGCAGGAATGGGGCCCGAGGAAACTAACGCTAACTCCATTCCTGGGCCACACATTGGCACCCAAAACGAAGCCCTTCCCCTTAGCCCAATCCCTAACGCAAAAAATGTCAATCTCGGGGAGTTGGACCATCAGGCCGGTCTTGATTAACCAGCTGGGGCCCACACCCAATTGGGGACACCCAGCCCAAATAATCACCCCTACCCAAGCACCTACGCGTCCCCCACACCTCTCTCAAAGAAAGGCTCTAATGGGGAAAACTCACCACACTCCATGAACACTCAAGTGCCTCATCTGAGAACTCACTCAAGCTCAGGTGAAAAGACACTCTCCGTCCATTCCACAAGATACCACATTAATTCTGAATCCCTCTCCCTATATACAATAACCGATGCCTTTTTCACTAACCTAGATTTGGCACCAAGAGACGCAATTATGAATCGGTCCATTAACTTAACCTCCCCCCTCCCCCCAATTACCCAAAGTAGCAAATCAAAAAAACATAAAAATGAAAAAAACCAAACGTCACCCACCATTGTGACATCGCTACCACTACCACCGGACAACCTACCAACATCCTAGCTGGAGGTGGCATTACAAGGACAGGGGCTAACCTATAATTTCATCCTGGAAAATCAACTAGTGACCCTGATTGTCCAGAATCCAGCGCATTTGGCGGGGGTAACGGTGGAAGCCTAGACCTTGGCTGTCTTTGGTCCATGCCTATGGAAAACAATGACAAGCAACGACTGTACACAACCAAACATCGCCCCACCACTGCTCAACAACCTAATTTCCCAAGCGTTCCAGTCAATACCATTCTTCCCAGATTTGGCAACGGAAGATCCAGCAGCGTCGCCAGTCTTTGTGACCATCGAACCCCAAATCCACCAGGCCCCATCATCTTCTGCTCCACCAGAGAAGAATCTGTCACCACCACTGGGAAACATTACAAGGGAAATCAACAAAGCCCTAGATCTCCTGAAAAAGAAAAGCCCACGAAATGGAAGGAACAAACTATGGAACCCTTCGCACAGATTCTCTACTATTGGACTCAGTCAGGGCGATAAAGTTCAGTGTGGAGAACAACAAAGTACTGGTGTTGCTGTGTCCAAGAATGATAACCAAATGTGGACTGAGCCTAGTGTCTCACCACACCCAGGGAGTGACCAAGCCGCTTCTCAACATGAGGGAAAAAAACCAAACTAGTCTAACAAAGACTCCATAGGGAATGGAGAAACCTCAAGAAAACCAGTTCCCACACCACCAATCACCCCCGATGAACCACATCATATAGAATGTTAGGGGTGGAAACAACGCTGAGTTTAAGAGGCACTGCATGGATATGGTTAAGCTCCACAAGCCAACTTTGTTGGTACAACTAGAGACCAAGTGTCACGACCCCAGTTCGCCCTCCGTGAACATGTCGTGACGGCACCTAGTCTCTACGACTAGGTAAGCCTAACAATGCGGAAAGTAAATATAAACTTGCGTAAAAGTAAATTAAAAGCTAAGAATAAACAAGTGAAAGCAGTATATAGGATGCCACTCGGCATATACATCACAACAACTCCGAATTTCTACAACAATATCCCAAAATCCAGAAACTCACGGGAACACAAGCTAGATGAAATACAGTAAAGTGCTCTAATCTCCAGAATGTCTACATCAACAGTAAGATAGAAAAGGCTAACACTATAGGATAGAATAAAGATAGAGACTCTTTGGTCTGCAGGCGCGACAGATGTACCTCAAAGTCTCCGAAATATCTCCCTGCCTCAAGGGTGATAAGCCTGGGTAGAGGTACCTGGATCTGCACATGAAAAACATGCACAGAAAGGGGCATGAGTACACCACAACGGTACTCAGTAAGTACCAAGCCTAACCTCCGTCGGTTAGTGACGAGGAAGGTCAGGGCCCTACTAAGATAAATAAATAATAAATGATAGGATAAATACGCAGTATAAGTGAGAATCTACAATAAAAATCTGTACAGGATAATAAGGATACAGTAACAGAAAACAAAAATAAGGTAAACACAAGGAAATACCGCCCACAACAAGGATGATAACCGGGGATCTCTTGGTATCCCGAGGATCTCTTGATATCCTCATCATATACACTAGGGATCTCTTGGTACCCCGAGGATCTCTTGGTATCCTCATCATATACGCTAGGGATATCTTGGTACCCTGAGGATCTCTTGGTATCCCTAATAATTACACTAGGGATCTTGGTATCCCGAGGATCTCTCGGCATCCTCAACACACGTGCCAGGGATATCTTGATATCCTGCACCTCCATCCAAAACATAGATACGTACAGGGGGATCTCCCAGGATGTCGTCTCATAGTCCCAAATTTAAACACACAGCAGCCGCTCAAGAATATTAAAGTAAATACTAAATTCGTAACAAGTAAACAGTTAATTCTAGCCTAACATGCTTCACGAAATACAATTAAGGAAGTTTAAGCAAATAGGCAACTAAGTCACCTAAGCATGCTTTTCTAAACTAACACAGGCTATGTTTGCAAGTAGAATAAAACAGGTAAGAATGGAGCTCAGTTTAAATACTTAAAGTAAAATCGGATTTTCAACAATTAGCTCAAGTACGCGCTCGTCACCTCACGTACAAGGCATTCAATTACCAAATATCATATCCTAAGGGGAAAGGTAGTGAAAGAAACCCCGCTCGATCCTGAGATACCCATGGTACGGAGAATGCGGTAACACTCATCAAGGAATCCCAGAGCATCCTCCAGTGCTAGACAACTGAATACATGAGGCTTGTACTTCTTGAACCTCTCAAGCCTCAATTGATCATCCTCAGAAATAGCTGCCCTGTCCTCGGGTTGAGCCGGCACTGCAGGCGGTACAGGAATAATCTCAGGGGCCTGCTCAACATGCACTCGCTACTCAAAAGTGCGGGCGGCGGGAGTCTGTGCTCCTCCTCCGGCCTGGGATGTGGCTGCAGCAAGGGGAAGCAACCCTTCCTGAGCCAAAGTGGTGTACATGCTCATGAACTGTGCCAGAGTCTCCTGACGGGCTGGAGTAGTAGTGGCAGTAAGCGTGTCAGGCTCCTGGACTCCGGTTGGATCTGCTGGTGGTACCTTGGCGGCAACTCGCACAGGTG